GCAAGTCATTGTGCCCACATCTCAGTCTGTCATCAGGAAGGTCGCTCGACGAACGCGATTAATTGTCAAAACACCAGCCACTTTATCTGCACTTTTGGGGTTTGGCGGAAAAATGAAGACGTGGGAATAGTATGCTATACAGCGCATTTTTGCAAAACAGTCCTAAGCGTGGCCCTTCGATTATGGTAGATTGCCAATCTTTATGCAAGCTGAATCACTAGTCCTATGATGAAACCATGCCAATATCCCTGAACACGTACGTTTGTAGATTCTTTTAGGATGTGCCATGCATTTAATCTACGTTTTCGTCTTGCAGAATCAGGTCTTTAAAAAGCTATCCGTCATAACCCTGTAGAGAAATTGTGTCCAGACGACGTCATATTTCGAGGACGGTGAGGACAATGCAGGGGCCTAGGGAAGGTGGCGGGGGCATCTAAAGTTTTTTTTTGCTGTAGAACCTCCATCAACAGCGGACACTGCGGGACGAAAAGTTTCGTGATGTGCACCATGGGCAGAGTGACTTTTTTGCCCCTCCCCCTCCATATCTTACAAGGGATGGAGCAAAGTTCAAGGGCAGTAGTAAAGCTTTTAGAAAGCGACGTCATTCGAGAAAAGGAAATCTGACGAAAATAGCCTAAAATGTTTCAATAGATTTTGTTGACTTTGTGATCCTATTCGATCATTCTCTAAGGATTCACTCCAAGAATAAGAAAGCGCGTAAGAAATGCTACAAGTTTAATGGGCTCTTAGTTACCTAATTTTGGCTTGGCATCGGAGTTTTTATACAGGGTATGGCGTTTTAATCTTTCACAAATTCACTACATTCAACACTTGAAACAATGTGCTTCTGAAGCGGCTCTTTGAATGGTTCTCTTTAACCGATATAAGCTTCGAGTCTCTTTCCTACTGAAAGTCAAGGCACTACGCAACTAGTTGGCTCCGAGTTCTTTTCATGAATTTTCCAAACAAGCCTTGATAGAATATTAGTAAAAAAAACCAGTCGCTCCAACACATGGGTCTAAATTTGGGAAGGAAATGGGATGGTCAAATAGTCTTACAACAAATAGCCCAGAAAATGGCGGTCATAAAGTCCAGCATAGATTCATAGTAGTGCGTCCATAATAATTGATAAAGGAAAGGCGAGAAAGGTGATAAAGGCGTTCATCCGTTGAAAAGTGTTCAGGAAAAGCTGTCACCCGGACTTTTCCCACGAAATCTTGCATCTAGAGGCACCTCTTTCGAAGTCATGATGAATTTTTGCAGTGGCATCTGACGCGCATCCAATATTACGAGATTTGCCCGTTTGTTGTTTTGGGAATTGTGCTCAAGTTCTTATGTGGCTCTTCTTTTCTGCCCAAATGATATCTAAAAGGCGAAGTTGTTCGATATGGTTAGCAAAGTTTTCGTTTTCCCACCTCTTCTAGTGGTGTCCTCTAAATTGTCTTCATTTATAATGATGCGTGGATCTACGATATATCATACTTCATGGTTTTCTCTTGTACTGCTTGTACCTTCGTACAGCTCTTCGTCGTAATCCGATGTCGACGACCATATGATCATCTATTGTAGGTGGATTTTTCGAGTTTATGTGGCTTTTTTCGAACAGCAGGATAAAAAGGATAAAAGGATAAAGCATTTGCCGTTGATCAATCCCTTTTTGGGATGCGGCACGCATTCTACTTCCATTTGTACATTCGCAGTGGCGTTTGAATGCGATGTGGCCTATACAATGACTTGCGGGGCCAGCCGATGTTCAAGTCAGTGTTTTTATCCTCCCAGACAAGTCTGGTACCAATTAACCGACCCCGGAGGGATGGAAGGCTTGGTTGGCCCGGGCGACTCACGACCCAGGATTTGATCCCCGGACCGCGCGTGTAAGCGTTGCCCTTAAGCGCTGTGGTAACAGAAGGCAAAACACTCATCGAAATGCGACGTGCTGGCAAGCCATGGTAAATAAACCATCGAAGCTGTTGGAATGAAATGGTTCCGGTAGCGTTCTTGCCCGTGAGAGGCTTGTCGATCGTCGGGGGGGGCGCAAGTTTTGTTCCATAAACCAGTCATTCTTGATACATTTATCTTATATTTGCTTCTACTGTTTCCTGCTAACAACGGCTATCTCTAATCGGGCGAGAATCCATAGACGGGGAGTCCCAACGCGATCGGGAAGATGAACGTGCGTACTAAAGGGATCGGGTAAAAGCCCTGTCAATCTTCACATCGCTCTCTCCACCTGGCGACGTAATCGACATGTACTTAATCTTGGGCTCTCCTCCTCCCTGCACTGTTTAAGTGCACATTTCCTTTCTCACCTCCTTCACATGCAATTTATCTTCGTCACTCACTCTGAGGTTGGCCCAGGGCCATGCGGTCCAGGGGAATCCCGTAGATTCTTATTTCACACAGACTCAAAGGGGCCTCATTGTTATCCACGGCTCGTTCATGTGACCGCTTAAGTGGCCCATTACACAAATTATATAAAGTATATTAGTTCTTTGAATAAAGGATAAAGGATAAAGCATTTGCCGTTGATCAATCCCTTTTTGGGATGCGGCACGCATTCTACTTCCATTTGTACATTCGTAGTGGCGTTTGAATGCGATGTGGCCTATACAATGACTTGCGGGGGCCAGCCGATGTACAAGTCAGTGTTTTTATCCTCCCAGACAAGTCTGGTACCAACCGACCCCGGAGGGATGGAAGGCTTGGTTGGCCCGGGCGACTCACGACCCAGGATTTGATCCCCGGACCGCTCGCGTGGTAAGCGCGCCACTTGTCACTACACCACTTCCGCCCTCTATTAAAATATTCATTATATACTTATTCCAGTACTAAGTATGTATATAACAACGGTGAACTGTACATCTACTGATGTCCCAAAGTCATTACACTGCAGACATGCCTCTATATAAACTCACCCGGCTGCAGTGTAGAGGCAAAGCGGAGGGTCGCATTTCAAAAGTAAATCGCTCAGTGAGTGTCCAGCGGCTTGCCCTATAATGCGCATTCAAAATGTGCTTATATTCAAATATGCCAATATACATATATTATAATATGCTTATATAGATTCATACAGATCCTCGATACATCTGGACCTCATAAGACGCGATGCTTGCAAAAGCTAGAAAAAACAATCGGTCAGCTGGATTGGAAAGGATTCAACAACATTGTCGGTCTACTTTCGAGAGGTGAGTCGTTCTTAGTCGCTCTTAATACACTTCCAATGTCATTTCGAGTTATTCAAGCAAACATCATGATAAGATGGTGTCATGCTTTTTGTGTTTGTTACGTACCCACCTTGTCAACGAGCATTACTGCGGTGAAACTTTGCCACACGCGGCGCTTGTCCAGCTGTAAATTCTAGCTCGCTGACAGATGACTTTGATTTATTAAGTTGAGTAAAAGATTGTGACTCGATTAGATGTCGTTGAATAGATTACGCGCTCGAAGATTGATTGCTGTCTAGTTACAACACAAATTATGTGATACTGCTTTCTATCGGAGGGCTCATGGTCCTTTCAGTGTCACATTTTGGTTCTCAATGAGTCAAATATCGCACTTCTACTAATCTGGTTATGGTAGAAATTTTTTGCGCTGGTTCTTTTCGTATTCTGATCCCCACCCCCACTTTCCTGTTTTGGGACATGTCTCGTATATGTGCTTGGCTGTCGGTTTGATTACATCTACAACACTTCAATTAGATTATCGTGGTGATGTTTTGCTCGCGGCCTTCATCGTCGAATTTTATGGTTCGTTTGGCAGACAACATTACCTTCAGTCACTAATGCGCTGTTCGGTTTTCCCTGAGAGACATCATCTCCGACGTTCGTCCGACAAACTGAGAGCATTTCTAGGAATTTTTTCTCCTATTACGCAACAACTAAGTGTCGATAGGCACTTCTTGAAGATGAGCACTGATAGATTTTTTTGGAATAAGCCATGCATAGGAAATGCTCTTGGAATTAGAGACATTTGGGCATTGTGAAATATTAGGTTGAGCAATAATTGTCCGCCGTTTTCATATCACTCATAAGTTTTTAACAAAGCCAAACAAAAACAACAGTATATGCATAATCAACAGACGCTCTCGAACAGTTCTCTGCGCAACCGTGCCTTCATCCCAGGCTTCATTGGTTCTACGAGCAGATGCAGAGGCATTCGGTTTTGAGCTCAACTTGCACTCATGTAGCAGGGGCAATCTTTTTTGCTAGTGTGTAAGCTCCATAGTGAAGCTGCACAAGTGTGTCTCGACCTTTGAAAACTTATCTGCAAATCAATCAAGCTAATAAGCCTGAAAAAATGGTTATACATTGCTCCCCTAATTATAATGCTCGGATAACTCATGCAGCGTATGGCTTCTGAATCTGTTCTCGCTTTGCAGCGCCCGCGGGGCAGGGTGAGAAGCTTCCTGCTTGACTAGCTTGATCTTAAATACCGTCTTGCATAAAGGTCCTGTGCAGAATGTTTAGTGAAATATACCTACGTCCAGTTCATGAAGGCCTCATTGCAACATCTGGGAAGTTTCTATGACGCTGTTTGTTGAATATGCTTCAGGAATAAATTTCAGGGACAATCGTCAGTTCGGCTTACGAGCCGTCCATTCAGGCGTTGATACGAATTATTGATGTACTTGATGAGCCTGTCGTGGGAGGTCGCGACTCTCTGGGCCTTGTTATCTGTCATGTTCTTCCTTACCACCTTCTGTTCAACTTCGACGCACCGAAACACTTTGTGTATGTCTGTATGCGCTGTTCTTAGACAGGTTAGCTTACCTTTTCCTTTTTCCTTCCTTTCGGTCCAAATTCCAGATGACTTTTTAGTACTGCGTGGAATCGCTGAAGAATGCGGACATTTCGCAGGCGGATCATCCCCTGAATAATTTAGCTACGGTATGATTTGTTCAATGATGAGGAAATCCCTGACTCTTAATTACGTAACCTTAATAGCTTAGCTTTAGATGTTGTCGCAATACAGCACGAAAACGTTCTCCAAAGATCGCTATCAATGGACGAAATGTGTGCTACAGTATCTTTGTGAAGCAATTGATGTGTCAGTAGTACAGCAAATGATCGTATTGTTAGCTGAGGTGAGTCGGTCCTGTTATCAGCTTCCCTTATATCACGGATTTGTAAGCGTTTGCGACTGTCCTACCTCAACTTGGAGGTCCTCTGTCCCAATATGTTATTACTAGTGGTGACGAGGTGCACATAATTAATGCTGTTGTCATTGTGTGTACGTTCAGACTTGACGAATCGCAATTGATGCGCTGTGAAGATAAGGCTCAAAGTTCGAATAGGCATCACACCGCGTACGTCTTGCGCAACCGTAATTGTGAGTGGCATGCGGGATGATTGTCGCGATTACTGCGCTAAGTGGCCAAGAACAGTTAGTCACTGTTCACTGGAAATAATGAAGCTCTGGCACCTCGGAAACAATGCTAGCCCTTTCTCGACGAAATTCTAGTCAATGGTCTGTTTTGACGCCATTCTCTGCAGATGTTTTAAGCAGTAGACACGCCGTTAGCAGGCGGGAGCCCATATTTGATGGAGGATTTTCCGGCGTCATTCGTCGGATTGGCTTCATGGCGGCGGCAGCACTTCCGTTCCCATTGACGCCATCGACAAGTTGTTAATGATGTATGAGTAGTGGTGGCAAGAATTGCACGATAGTCCCTTTCACAGAGTCCAGGCTTTTGACGTTCTCACAGAGAGTGCAGGGCAAAGTTCAGATGTCGAGCTTAGATTAGTGCACATCAACTGTCGTGTTATCTCTTTTCCGGTGGTGTTGAGGTGCAAATTGGCGGCGCTCCCACAAGGCGAAAGATGCTATCTGCCAGGAGCCAGGTAGTGATTGTGGGAACATTAATCCGCTTATATTACTGTAGCCCTTCACCGTCTAACCTCAGCTGCTGAACGAAGAAGCATGTGACGATTTTCTAGCAATGAAAGTGCCGTAAAACGAAGCTGTGCTATTCGCGACACGCGTTTCCGTAGCACGCGATTTGCCTGTTTCGTTTTTAAGAAGCGATGTTTCGGAAGAAATTAAACCGGCAGCAAAGAATGTGGTGGTTTATTAGAGGTTTGCTTTTTTCTCTAACCCAGCTTTTGGTAGAAGTGAACCTCCTAACTAAGTAGCACACAAATCAAAAGGACCTATCACTACGCTATTATGTGCTAAAATCAGATAGCATACGCGAAAGTATTTGTGACATCTTGTCCGTTTGTGGTTCATCAGTCAATACGCCACTTCGAACGATAACAACGGTCACGCGCGCTCCGTTAATACGCTATAAAAAATTGCACTCATTTCGGCGATGATTCGACGGGCTTCGCTCCCGTGACATGATGATAATTGGAAATTAGGTGCTCCAGGAAAGAAACTTGACTTGAAGAATGAGTTGTGGGCTGGAATATTACGAGAATTACTTATTGTCCTACAGCGCCTAAATATGCCACGCTGAAAAGTAATGCATCGCAAAAGTCGTCGGTCCGTTGTAAAACGAAAAAAAAACCAACCAAAAAAAATCAAAGGACGAACCGAGGTTGCATCCTTCAGGTAAATAGTCCCGAAAAGCTAGGTTCCAAATGATGCTAAGCTTAGACGCATCTGGCTTTGACAGTCCCTAGCTTGTAGCGGCGTCCACATATTGCTACCTCAGTTGCTAAAATGCATGTGCCTATTCCCGAATGCAACCGGCCAAATATACAGTAAAAGCGGGTGCCTACGCACTAGTTCAGTATATACTCCGGCCACGTGGTACTAAATAAACAGTCTAGCGGTATGGAAACTGAGACTAGCTATGCCCTCGACAATTCAAAAGATCTGATCCCCAACCCCCTTTTCCACCAGAACACTTCCACCCTAGATTCTCCACATCATCGATAATGCTTGATTCACACGGGGTAATCGTTTCTATAACGTCCTGTATCGTTATCAGGTCTCTTTTCAGATGCTCGAGACAGACAACTGCGAGATCGATGCATGTATACGTGCTGCACATGCTGTACCTGCTGTTGTTGAGAAGAGACTCTGTTACGTCGCCGTTTGGTAATAAATGCACAGGTTAGTTCAGAGGTTTCTAGTCAGCTCTAAGTTGGTATATTTTATTTGGCTCGCAATTAAACGAGTAATCCTCTTTAGAGGTGCACCTGCCCTTTTGAGATGCCGTTCTTTCACGCGATAGGCGGCGTGACTCGCACCGTAATCCTCTGCTGCTGCTGTGACTTGTTGCGCAGCGGCGTTCACGACACAGCGTATTAGGGCAACAAGGAATTCGATAAATCGTTGTGCTTAGGGCGGCAAAACATTGCTCGTGACGATGGCATGCCCAGTCACACCGATGATGTTCCCCCGCACACGCTTACGCGTTTTCGATGGAGGCGAGGCGATGGGGACAGCCGCTCAGCGTGAAGACGATCGTAACTCGCGGTTTATTCGCGTTTCTGGCACAACATTTGTGCATCTGAACGACCACTGCTCCTGTCAGCTGGTTTGACGCACGAGCATTGCGCACTCATAAAACTCCATTAGAAATTACGATTAGCCAACTGAACCTCTGTGTTGAGGGCAGGTCGAGCAGATAGCGAAAGCGATTACTCGCTGGTCGTTTTCACGTCGGTCCCCTCGTCGACGGAGGTTTACCTCTCGCACTACTATAACCGGCATGAACTCGTTTATGAGCCCGCATGTTCATCTAATGATTGCCGGGAAAGCCTTTTTGCATAGTTTACGACATTTTGATAGGCGCGCACCATATTGTTCGCAGGCGCGGCCTCGGCAGCGAATCGTCGCGCTCGCTCGCTAATCGCACACCCATTCGGGCAGCCCATCTGCGTCACATCCGCACTTCATCCCACCGACCAACGGTGTGCTCCTATAGAACAAGGCGAATTGGAAGGAACTGATATATTATTGGCATCGTGTCTGTGACGACCTTGAGTTAGTTGAGATATTTGCGACAAGTGATGCTTCCAAGAGCGTGTTTTGTTTTCGATGGTAATCACAAGAAGTGGCGTAGTTGATTGCAAATGTACAGTGTCGAAGAATATTGACTGAAATACATACAGCAGTTATTTATACTGCTAGCGTAAAGAATGCAAATGTACTTTCCTAAACTCCATCATGGGGTACGAAGTATCATAAAAAATCCTCTAAACTTTTCTTTTAAAAGATCACAAACTCCTACTGGCTCAGCTTTTTTCTGGAAGCCGTCATTTTCTGGCAACGCACGTCCTGGGCAATGCAGAACCCATGGCTGTTACGCTGTACCTTGGGCTCACAGAAATGTCACCTATGAGATGGATAAATAGAAAGCATTCTTAACAGCTGCATTTCTGAATCTGAACCTTAATTGGAAATTGAACGGCTTACAAAGATGTTGCTCCAGTTAGGGTTTGTTGGAGTGGTGGGCCTTCTCTGATTCATGAAATAGAAACTTTTAGAACCATCGATGATTAGCGGGAGAAAGAGCTATGTTTCTCCTATTACTGCGAAAATCTTTCATCATTTACCAACTGCAAATTGTACTACCGCCGTCGCTGTCCCGGAAGTGAGCTATCTCGGAGGACGTGGATGCGCAAGTATCAGAGGCCCTTTTGCCGCGTATGTGGAAAAGTTTCAGTCGCCCCATGCTATGACCGGGAAGAAGTTGATAACCAAAGCTTTCCTCTATTACTTCCCCGATTGAATCCCATTGTGTCCTGGCTTTCCTCTGTTACTGTCCGCCTTTTGAATCCCATTGTTCTGAGAATAACTCTAAAACGTAAGTAGGCTTCATATATGAGAACAAATACTAAACTTCCGTTTTTCAGGTTATACGCAGCGTCTCACGGCATGTACAAGTATGTTACCATTCTTGTATTATCCGTTATTCCTCTTGTATTATCCATCCGGTATTATCCCTTTATGAAGGTTTTGTGTCATCATTAATTTTTTTCAGGGAGTAAATTGGCGGGAAGCTGCACGGGTCTACAAGGTGGTGGTCGAGCAGTGGCAGAATGCAGAGCGCGACAATTCTGCGGTAAGTCTTTGGTGAATGTGTTGGAAATAAGGAAAAGTTCTAAAGGAAGGCAAGAGTTTGGAGGGGCAGTCGAAACAAAACTTAGGGTTTCAGTGGAATCAATGTGTCATGAGAAATCTTTTTGTTCCTACATTTCAGTGACCACTTGTGTCTCGTTCCTACAAAATGTGAGGGAGATTTCCTCCTGTTAGCTTTGGTCTGACCCTATATGGAATTTCACATTGGCTGGCAATGTGATGAAGTGCTCCGCGCCTTACTAGCCATATTCAATTTAAGCAGAGCAGTGGTGGCAACGTCTGGCGCCAGACGGTGGCGACTGTGTCCACAGCATTTCAGCAGCGCGATTTCGTCCGGCATATGTTGTCGTGGTCTCGCCACTCTGCCAAAAAGTCGTCGACCCATAGGGAGGCCGCAGTGACTCGAGGAGGGTTGTTCATTTACTGGAGCGGCCGGGCACGACGTAATAACCGCGTCTGATTTGAGATGATGCGAGGTCGTCGTTAAGTCTGTGTGTTCGACCCCTTTATGAGAGTAGTTTCTTTGAAGATAGCATCTCCTTCGGCAGTGCAGGCACAGCACATAGCGTCCATCGCGGCCGACGCGCTTAATGTGCCCGACACCTGGCGCTGTTCGGGGGCATGAAATCCGACCCTCCTCGTCACAGAATGTTGTTAAATTGTTAATGACCTCTCCGCGCGACAATTCCGCAACCCTTTTAACCAACCGCCCCCGAAAAGAAACATATGTACCGTATATGCGATTATCGGCTAAGCGCCTCATCGTTGTCATATTTTGACTGATGATATATTTGCATCGAGAACGGTGCGTGGAAAGTGGATTATTCAGAATGGTGACGGCACGTCCGGATTCGAATTTGAGCTTTCGCTGGTCTCAGCAGGATCTGGCTCAGGGTTGAGTCCCCCATCACCGAGGAAAAGCGTGCCAAGTGCCGAGTCCAGCAGTACCAATACCATTGGCAATGTGAGAAAGCAGATGCCTCCTCATGTGAGTTCGTTAACCTTTCCAAAGCATTCAGTGCCGGTGCAGTTTATTGGTAGGAGAGACGGTTTCATTTCATCTCTTCAGTTACGTGTCCGTGATCGCCTTGTCGGACTTCTGTCAGCGTCAGGCCTTCGTGTCGGTTTGCCGTCTGCTGTTTCAGTTGTCTTTTCTCAAAGTGAACTGGGCAGCACTGCTACTTCGACGGAAAGAATCTGCACGTCGTCACAGGTGTGTATAGAAATTTCCCCAATGGCACTGATCAATTATCTCGATTCATTAAGGAGGTTGCGTCAACGACATCACTTCCCTGATCCTTCCGCCAGTATCACTGACTCGTTCCCACGAGT